GCAGCCACCCTGCAGGAGGACGATGACAGGGACCAGGACGTGTGCACGCTGCAGTGACCGAGAGCCGCTGGACCCTGGCCCGTGGCTGGCAGCTGGGGGCTGCTGTCGTGTCCCGGCTGTCCTCCCCCGCGTCTGTGGCCGGAGCCCGGCCCCGCGGCGTGGCGGGGACTGAGGCTGAGGGCAGTGGTGGGCGGTGTCTGCTTGGTGCTGGGGCTGCCCCATCGTCAGGCCGCCTGGGGACGGGGACGGAGACGGAGGCTGCCCCAGACGCCGTGGGGTCGCGTGGTGCTGCTGGGCGTGTGGGCTCTGCGGGCCGTGCCCCAAGCTGTGGGTCTGTCGGAGGGCCAGGGGGCTGGGGCTGCAGGGGCAGGGAGGGGCCCAGCCAGAGGCCTCTTGTATATAAAGTTTTTCTGTGACTTCAGTTTTCTGACTGCTCTTACCTGCCCTCCCACACGCTCGGCCCTGCTGGCCCCAGGCATCGGGGGAGCCCAGGGTTGGGGGGGGACTAACCTGGGGGCACGATAAGTCTGGGGCTGGGGTCCTTTGTGCCATGACTCCCAGTGCCTTTTGTAGGATCCCAAAACCAAGGGGTTGGCAGGGAGCTGGGGGGTCGCATGCAGTACCAGTCTTGCCCGGGGCAGGATCAGCCCTGTCTAAACCAGCCCAGACAAACCCCGTGTCTGACCTCAGAGCCGCACGACAGCCGCCCCTGGCACAGCCCCAGGCTTTGCCCCTGCCCCCAAGAAAGCAGGAGGACCAAGGCCACCAGTGTCCTGCTCCTGCCGTGGGGGTCACGGACACTGCAGGGAGCCCAGGCGCCCCGCTGCTGAGGAAGGGGAACCCCCCAGGCTGAGCAGGGGCAAACCCCTTCCTGCCCCAGTGCAGCGGGGCTGAGCTTGGGCGCAGGGGCGAGACCCTCCAGCCGGGACCCTGCAGGGTTGATGCCGGCAGCATTGGCGCAGCCCATTCCCAGCCTGGGCTCCAGCCCTAGTGCCTCTGGGGGGGCTTCAACTGCCCCCCCCGGTGCAGGGAGTGGGGCGGGGGCCGGCGCTCTGCCGCTGGGACCCGTGACTCAGGCGGGGGCTGCCTGCCCTTTCGGCAGGACTGCCCCGTGGAGTTGCTTTCCAGGGAAGCGCAGGGGAAGCAGGCGCGGGACCGTCCCCGCGCAGGGGAAGCTGCGGGGGAGGCCGCGGGCCAGAGGCTGGGGGGGGCAGGCCTTGCTGCTGCCGGGGGCCAAGGGCTGCCCACAGGCTCCTTTGATGCCCTGGAGGGGCCGCGGGCACTGGCTGCAGCTCGCTGCCCCCCTGGTGCCTGCCCTGCCCTGCCCTGCCCTGCCCCTTGCTCAGCCTGGGGGGCCACGCGGAGACTTTCTGGCCCTACCCTGGGGCTGGGGCTGAGGCTGCTGCCAGGCCTCGGGCCCCCCAGCATGACCCCGACCCTGACCCCACTGAGCTCTTCGGGGGGTCCGGTGCCACCGTGGGCTGTGGGGCCAGGCCAGGACCCGCAGGAGGCAGGCAGAGGAGGGTTAGCGGCCGCCCGTCCCGGGGTTATGGCAGCGCGGGGCCGGGCGCGGGTGGCGCTGGGATCCATGCAGGAGACCTGCCCAGTGCAGCCCCCAGCCCTGGCTGCGAACACACTGGCCCTAACCTGGGGCAGCATATCCCAGGGTACAGTCATGCCGCGGTGCCAAGGGGCAGGGCCAGGGCAGTCCTAGCGTGGCACGAGACCGTGCTGCCAGGCACAGGTCTCCTCCTCCTCCCTGACCCCAGATCTGGCCCCGGAGCCACGTCTCCAGCCTGCAGGGCGCCCGTGGCCGCACGCCTGTGCTGCCAGGGGAGCATTTGCCACTTCCCCGTGGCCAAATCTCTGGGCCCGCGGGTGCCCTGGGGGCCAGCAGTGAGGCCCTGTGGGGTGGAGCGGGTGCGCAGGGCCTGAGCCCAGCATGCAGCCAGCGCGAGGCCTGAGCTGGACACCCAGGGACTGGCTGCAGCCACGCGGGTCCTGATGACCAGCCCCCTCCGCACCCCTTGTCTGGCCAGAGGCCAACTGATGCCGCCTACCCTCCTGCTCCCCTGGCTGCGTTGGCAGCCCGCGCCCAGGATGGTGACGGGCTCCGGGTCAGCCGCACCGTAGCTTCCCACTGCGGCGGTGACATTTGGCTGCCGGTTTTCAATTCCCTTTGCGGTAGTTCCTGCCTCCTGTGCGGTTTTGCTGACGGCTTCTGCGTCGGCAAGTGGGTTCGCAGGAATGCCACGGCTCGCCTACCAGCCACGGCTACGGCAGGGCCCAGGGCAGGGGTTGCGCCTGCTCACACACATGTATGTGCATGTATGTCCGTACGTGTGTGCGCACATGTGCATGTGTATGTTTGCATGTGTGAGCATGTTCATGCCTGCATGCGCACATACATGCGTGCACACATGTACGTGTTTGCACGCACATGCTTATCATGCTGGTTCCCACTTGCCCCTCCCCTCAGTGTCACAAGTGCCTCCCGCAGCCGGGCCCCCCAGGGGGTCCCAGCCCAGCCAGCAGGGTGGGGGCGGGTGGGGGGTCACAGCTGGTCCAGCCCCTGCTTTGGGCAGGATCAGGCTTGTCTGAACCAGCCCCAGGCACCCTCCCCAGCCTGTTCCCAACAGCAGGACCCCCCGCACCAGCCTGTGGGCCCCCCAGCTCTCCGGCCCTGCCCCTAAGTTGTGCCTGACCCCAAGGACCTGCTCCGCTCCCTACGTGGGCGACTGCCAGCGGCACCTTCACTGCCGGGTTTCCATCAGGAGCTTTTTGACAGCCCGGATCAGCCCAGCCATG